TTGTATGTGTTTGTAGAATGTAAAGTCAAAATAGTGTGGTTGAATGGACAAAGAGAAGCGTTGGGGCAGAGTGCACTTTCGTTTATCCCTTTCATGTGCAATATTTTTTTCCCCCATTTATTTATACACTTTCACAGCGTACGCGCATCCACTTACATTTGTAAATATGTATTCTATATATGTATAAAAAAATATTTATTTTATTCGTATTTATTCTTATCCAGTCACACACATCCATTCGCACTCTCGTTAAAGTCACTCAATTATTGCTGCTGTTGTACGCCGCCGTTGCACCTCCTGATATTTCCCGCCCGGCCTGCGTGCCTTTTTCAGCCTCTTCTACGCCGTTATCGCCACCTTCACATGTGTTGTATTGGAGTCAATCTTGCGAAATGCTGATTGCATGCCATTTGCACTTGATTCTTTCAATCGGACGTTGGCTATTGCTTGCCACGATTTTTTGGCAATTGACGGGCTGTCTCATGGGACAACTGATGTTGTGTGAAATTTTCTTTTCGATTTCATTTATTGAATTTCAGGGATTTTAGTTGAAATCATATATTATTCGTAGCAGCGTAAAAGTTAAAGGAAATATACTTTTGTTTGCATCAAGCGAATATAACAGACAGTAATCTCTTATATGTAAATAATATTTTTTTTACATTTTCCTTATTTATCTTAAATGCGGAGGGTATCATTTTCGGCTACTAAACTCGATTTTCCTTTTTTTAGCAAATTTTATATATTTTGATCTCATGGCGTCTAATGTATAAAACTTAGTATTTATTTTAGGCCCTCTTCTATCCCTCTTCTATTCTGTGCAGACGATTTCTTGCTAATGGTATCAGAATTGTTTTCAACTGTCAAAATCTCCATCCCTTTTCTGTTACCAAACTTAGCTAGCAACTTTCCAGCGCAAGTACTACATAGGTAGGTATAGTAAAAGCCTGCGGAGCTCTAATGTTAAGCTAAGGGTGGAAAGATACATTCACGGAAAGCCTGGCATGCCTGCTGATCCTATCGGCGCCGACGATTGTATAAAACATTTAATTTCTCAAGCAAGGTCAGCTTGTTATTTTCTGGAGCTGAAGGGTTTTTCAATTCGGAAACAAACTCGACGAATTTGAAGAGAAGATAATACCACACCCGCTAGCAGTTTAAATATTTAGTATTGGTCAGGAAGTCCATATCTAACAGTAATATAACGAAATTTATTCCGAAAAAAAGCTTGAGAAGCTGGATTAGCATTAATGGCAATCATTCTGTGAAAAAATTTGTAATCTGTTAATCGTTACACAGAGCGTACTTGCTGTATGAAGGAATCATTGCAATTTTTGATGATTGAAAACACGTCCCATTACACGACTGTGACACGGTGTTTGAATAGCAATTGTCCGTTGCCGAAAATAAAAGATGTTTGACGCTCAAAAAATGAAGAACCAAGGGTGCACTGTCAATACAAACAGAGAGGATATAAGGAAAGAAACCCTTATACAGTGGCAAGCCCGATGGGAAGAAGGAAGTCATGGCTAATGGACGGCCAGATTAATAGCAGACGTCAGAATATGAACAAATATTCTGACTGGTCAGGGATATTTCAGGAAATACCTGTATAAAATAATTGTAATATATAATGTTAATAACGAAGATGACGCCGACCTTACAATCTTTCAATTCACTCGCTGGCAAGACGCGAGAATCAAACCTGCAAACACAGTTGCCACAAGCAAAGCAAACTGGGTGGCTATAAAGGAGTTCGCAGAAAAAGTACTACGAGTGAAAAAGTGGGACGTGGATGCAGGTGGCGAGATACAATCTCAAAATGAGAAAAATGGAACGCCACCCTGAAGTAATTCGAAAACGGTTCCAGGATGACCATTTAAGCATTACGGTAAATAAGAGCTGGCAAGACGAATGCATCAGCATCTTTGATCGGACGAAAGTATGCCCGACGACTGGAACTCACATTCGCCAATTACCTCCTTGATATTGTGTACAAAGTCCTATCGAGTGTATTGCGTGAAATACTCAAGCCCACCGCAAATTAACTCATTAAGTCTTATCTGTGTGGCTTTAAGACTGTGAAATCATCTTTTCATTGGTCTGAAAGCTGCCTTCGAAAGCACAGCTTCCTCTATGTCGCTAAGTCTGAAGCTAGTATCCTTGCGAAACGTATATGGCTGTGTACACAGGCGCCGTACAACACCAGAAGCGCAGTCAAAATTAGGAAATCCTGTCTTAGACGAAGAGTACCAAACGGTTCTTGGACAAGGTGACTCCTTATCGTGTGATTTCTTCAATTTGATGCAGGTGAAAATGATAACACTTGAAAAGCTAAATAAACAAAGCAAAATTGTGCAAAAAGGTGTACCTCTGCTGGCGTACTCTCTCTCTGAGAAGAGTAATGTGTTAAGTCTATATTAAAGCGTGATCTGTTTTGAGGCTCTCTGCTTTTTTAAGGATTATCTCTTACACATATTGGCCGCGCCAATAACTCAGATGGTTCACCCGTTGAATATAATTGTCTATGACTCGTTCGCGCATTTCGACTGGTAAATGGCATGGGATTCAAACGCGCGATATTCTGCTCCAAGACCTCTATCTGAGCGGAATTGCCCGCATAGACTTTAGACTTTACATTGCCCCACAGGAAAAATCTAACGGTGTGATGTCACACGTTTTTGGTGGTCTGGCCCAAAACGTGAATTTAGCTACTCACCAAAGTGTTCTCTCAAGAAATCCATTGATCGATGCGATGTGGAGGAAAAGACGCCGAGCTCTCGAGCTTCAATTTCAGGCATCAAAACTTTATCATTGCACGATAAGGGTCGCCATTGACGGTTACGTTCTCACCGGCGTCACTTTTGAAGAAATGTGAACAAAACCCGTTGTTTTTTCCGTATGAAATGACAGCTCTTGAATCTTTTCAGGTGAATCTTAGTCCGAAATGTGGCAATTTCTCTTGCTTACATACTCATTGGGCCAGAAATATGCCTCATTCCTGAACAAAATCTGGCTCGAAAATGTCGGACCTTCGTACAACTTTTCAGAAGCCGGTAAAACGATGCGATGCAATGGAAAAGTGCTGCGGCTTCAGTACTTGCACAAACTATGTTTTATATGCTACGTAGCCGAGTCTTCGTATACACACTCAGCTACGGTCATCATATTTTTTCACTACGTGCCGGACGTAGTCTACTCAGTCGAATATTATCCAATAATGCATGATGGGTCTCAAGATGGTGTTCCGAATATCACACTCAGTCGGCCGATTATGCTGATCATAAGTTTAGCGAAGCGAGCGAAACACATTTTTTACAGAACGTGAGTTTTCGTTATAAAATTGAACGTTGGTTAAATTTCTTATGTCTCTCCATTATGAAATGCCGAACAATACTGAGCAAAAACAACATGAAAGCTTGGCAATTGACTTAAGTTCCTCTACTTAGAAAGAAATATACAAAAAGAAGGTAGTTTGGTAAGCGCAGATTACTAAGTGAGCAAAATGCTAAATTTTGGTATAAGAAAACCTTCTCGCCCTTTTGGCCAAACTAGTTAACCGAACTTTATTTATCCTGTTTTTAACGTTTTGCTCGCCTGGGGGAATTACTGACTGCATTCGTTTGAGGTATGAAAACGATTGCTTACATTTTGTGAAAATTGCTGAAACACATGAAAGTTTTTTTTGCACTTAAAAAATTTTGTAGATCTTCAATAATCAGTGTGATTAATTCTCAAAATAGTAGCCAAAAATCCTATTTTAAAATAAATTTTAAATTTTTTTTAAGTGAAAGTATTCTTTCAAATAATAAGCAAAAAACATTTTACATTTAATTTATTTTTCTCATTTTTAAAATTGGTAGGAATTGTATTAAGAATATGTTAAGCTATTTAAATAATAAAGCAGGTATATGTAATATATCTCTATTTCATTGGAATTGCCCCTTTACAAGTGTCCTTCATATTTAAAAGGACATGAGCTGATTCAATACAAAATGTATTGTTTCTTATAGTTTTTTTAGCTGACTTGCTTTCTGACCATAAATGCATTCATTATACATGCTTGTATAAGACACATTATTTAAGAATTTCAAATGCATATATATATTTTTAATACGTACATATAAATTTACAAAGAACTGTCAACGCCAGAGGAAAATTGAGATGTGAGCAGCAATCAGTCAAAGCTGACAGATTATTTACTTCGGGTGAAGAGATTCAACAATGTATGTCCATATTTAAATACTTTATGTATATATATATCAATTTATATATATATATTTATATTTATATATGTGCATATGTATGTATGCATGTAACTTATATTAATATCATAGCATAGTAACATTTACACATTAAAAAACCAAAACCCCAACTGTCTGTTTGTTCACTGATTATTTGCACATGAATATTATTATGGGTTCCAAGCGTAATATTTGCGAAGCATATTTACGAGTGGCAAGTCCTTTTTGACTGCCGACAATAATTGAGTACAAACAAGTGTTGCTTACTCAAACCCACAGGCGCTTATACATACATACATATTTATACAAAAGTGTTATGATTTATTTGGAAGTTTGGCATTGACTGCAAGCATTTCAGGGCATGAGATAAAGTTAAACAGTTAAATATTTGAATTGTCATGTTGAGAAAATATTTTGGAATGCTGTCTTTGTGTTTGGAGCACCCACTTCTGCTGTATACAAATGGTGCTGGCAGAAATCGGTTTCTGCAAATATTTTTGTTCAAATTTTATAAATTAGGCCAAAATAAAATAAATAAATAAATTAAATTAAATATAATAAATTAAGTTAATTTAATGAATTGTAATTGAAAATTGCATTAAATTAGAGACACTACTATGACTAATTGTATTTAATTAAACTACGTGTTTTGAAAGGCAGAATGGCTGGTGGGTGAAAGTTGATTTTCCAATTTTAATGCATTGTCTGCCGTGATGTCATCTATTATAATTAATTAATATTTTTCTTCTTTTACAGCGCCAGATCACAGTAATTACCGCAGCGATGCCAAATCGGCAACAAACAAACATGACGCCGATTCCTTGACCGATGATGCCATCCATGCAGCAGCCAGTGTAACAGTCACTGCGCATGCGTTATTAAGATATCTATGCCTGATCATATTTGTAGTTTACCTTATGCGGGTGTAGCAAATATTCATTAAATCTTATTACGAAATACAAAAATAATATAGCAACTAGAATATTGCAAAACCTAGAGTGAATTAAATATTAAAAAATATGTAAATTAAAATAAAAATATACAAAAATATTTTATTTAATAATATACATAAACTAAAAGCATTTTAGATAAAATAAAATGAAATATAACTTCATAAAAAAATATAAGTATGATAAATTATTATAAAATAAAATGAATTTTTTAAGCTAAAAAGCATTACATTAAATAAATTAAATTAAGGTGTAATACATAAAAAAATAAAGGAAAACATAATAAAGTAATAAAATATAAACCTGATCAATTAAAATAAAATAAAACAGCAAAAAAAATTAGTGAAATAAAAGAAAAGTTGATAAACTTAAATAAAACCAAAGTAAATGAATTTAAATTAAATAAAAATAAAAAATGTCTACAAAATGGTATAAAATAAAACGAAAGGCAATAAAAAGCTGTAAATAAAGAAAACAAAATGAAAAAATTTATAAGAATTAATTAAGTTAAAATAAAAAAAATATAAATTAAATATAATCAATTAAAAAAATTATAATAAAATAAAATATGATAAATTAAATAAAAAAAATAAAACAAAACAAAATAAAGTAAAAGAAAATAAAATAAAACAAAATAAAATGAAGGAAAATAAAATTAAATTAAATACTGTTCAATAAAATGCAGCAAAATATAATTTAAAAATGAAAATTGATTTAGGTAATAATCACAAAATAACGAAAGTAAACTAAATTCAAGCAAAATAAAGTATTATAAATTTAAATAAATGAAATGAAAATTTAAAAAAATATCACAAAATAAAATTAAATTAAAAAAAATTAAATAAATGCAAATAAAATAAAAATATAAAACCATTTGAAATTAAATCATATAAAATGAAATTAAATCATAAAGATAAGTTTAAAAAGTAAAATAAACAAAGTTAAAAACAGTAAAAAAAGAGAAATGAAATTAAATCAAATAGAATAAAAAAAACTAAACTGAACGAAATTAAAATAGAAAAGCTAAATGGAATAAAATAAAAAATGAAATTAAATTGTATAAATAAAATCAAATAATTTTTAATATATTTAAAATTTATTAGTTTAAAATAAATTAAAATAAAAAGAAGTAAAACAAACCAAAGTAATATTAATTGAGTTACGATAAAATAATACAAATTAAATGAAATTAAATTAAATAGAGAAATAAGTAAAATAAAGTCAAAATTAAAAAACAATATTGTATTCAATTTACATAAATATTTTGGCAGTTTGTAGACGCTGAAGCGATTTTCAACCGAGCTCCACCTCCATGGAATGACCTACAGTTTATACAAAGCCGCTCCCGAACGGTTGCTGATTTTTTTTAAGAGGAGCCATTATTTCCTGTCAGAAATACCATAAGAGAGTTTGACATTCCCTGCCGAGGCCCGAAGGCAATTAAAAAATTTAACTTAATTTTTTTTTTTAAATTAAGGCTTTATAACTTTTTTGGATGTTAGTACGGTACCAGGATTTATGAATGGAAGCACGCAATGCCAACTAATCGGCTGCCGCAGTTTTTTTCTCTGTATGTATGCATATTATTAAAATTCAATTGGAAATTGTGCTTACTGAAATGAAATGAAGACACGTTTGAACGAAATCAATTACTTATTTAATTAAATAAATTACCAAAAAATAATTGTAAAATAGTTAAACATGCTGTTAATTAAATATTGATTAATTCATTTATGTATAGTATATAAATTAAATGAAGAAATATAAATTAGCACACTAAGAAATTATTAATATTAAGTGTGTAGAATTAAATGAGCTCGAAAGGATTATTAATTTTAGGCTTAACAAATGCACACAGGCAAAAAATAAAATATGTCTATACGTACGCAATTGCTGTAGAAGTATGCATATTTGTATATTTACTAGAAATAAAATATGCATCTAATTAAATTAAATGTATAAATATAGTACTTGCTGTGCTGTGTATTTTAACGGTGCAACACCGGTTTGCATGCAACTGTTGATGCTAATGCTGAGATTATTACGAAGAAATAAAATAAGAAAAGAGTGAAAATCTAACAAAATATAATTGTAAATAAGACATGCACATATTTAAATTGTTTAAGTATAGCATAACTTGTTTTAAAGAAAAAATTAATAAAAAAAAAAATATTCAATATTAAAAAAATAAAAAATAAGAATAAGGGAAATGGTTAGTATTATGTGAGAGATCTAAGCATTAAAGGCAGGTTACTAATATTGTAACATGGAACGATTAAAAATTCATTTGAGAATTCAGCGCTTGGCTTGTTTGAATCTTATTCAGTCCATTTTTAGCTTCCGATTAAATTTTTTTTAATTATTTTGAGAAGTATTAAATAAAAATGTGAAATAAAATTGAAGCATGAAATAGTTTTGCTTAAAGATTAAATGGAAAATAAACAACTGAATTAATTAACTAAATTATTTATATGTATAAATAATGAAAGTAACACGAATTTAACAAAAAATGAATTGTTATTGCTACTAAATACACAATTAAAAAAAACTGTTATAATAAATTAAATTAAACATAGAATTACGATATTGCATTGCCGGTCAAGACAAATTTAAATTAAAAACTTCCATAATTTCAGTATTTATTTATTTTTTTTTAATTCTCCATTTGCAACATAAAAAACACAGTAAGAAATGAATGCACAACGAGTATGTTAAATAAGCATAAAATCATACAACATTAATTTAAGACAATTTAATAATAATTCGGATTTTCTGTTACTAAAAAATATAAAACATAAATAATGTGTGTAGTATAGCATGGAATTGACTGTTAGTTACAAAAAAATATGTTTGATTAATCAAGTTGAGTTTTTGTAATGCAATGTGTTGCTATTTTGTAGAAATATTTGCAAAAAAAAACCAATAACAATACGTAAAGCCCTAGAGCTTGTAATGAAAGAGTGGTGTTTATAAAAAAATTGCTTTTATTTGTTATGCAGTGACAAAATGACAAAAAATGTTTGAGGATGTGCTTAATATTATATAAGTGTAAACTCATATATACCATATATTGAACATGTATATTAAATGTGTATACATTTGTTAGGGAGGACAACCTTTTGTATATTGACAACTGCTTAAATCTTTCGTGTATAAAACTCTTTTATGTATAAGGAAAAGTAAAATGCTTATGATAAATAAATACATATGTATGTAGGTGAATATAATATAGAATGAATATACGCGCTTCAAGTATTCAAATTAATACCCGTTTGGGTGCTGGTTTTTAGTTAAGATTATCATGCTCTGGCCTTAATTTGCTAGGAATACCGTGGACTGTTATCTTGCATGAATAAACCTATAAAGGAGCTCAAAATCTTCCGAATTTCCACGTCGTATGCGTCTATGTGTTCCTTATGCAATTGATTCTAGTTTCATATTACTTTCATACAGTCTTCAACAGAAAAATGTTCACAACGCAGTAATACTAGTGTTGGCATTAGCAGTACCAGTAGTAGCACTAGCCACGCTAGTAGTGGTACTGCTTATCGTAGCACAAGTGGTGTTACTGGTTGTGGTACTAATAGTACTTCTAATGGTACTAGTAGCGCTTGTGGTGGTACTAAAAGTAGTTTTATTACAATACTAGTAACACTTACAGTGGTTCTTGTGGTTCTTGTGGTTCTAATAGTAGTACTAATACTACTTGTAGTAAAAGCAAACAAAAATGAGAATTTTCGCGAGAACTGAAACTGATCCTTGAAAATGCTTTAAAAAATGTTTTTATGATTGTATTATGCTTTAGTAAAAGTGTATTTTTTCGAAAGGAGCCTACTTTAATGGTGATGCAATATATACCTGTGAGCAAAACATTAGGTGAATTTGTTTGTGAAATTAAAAATCTTTATTCATTCTTCTACATCGATTTCGTCGCCTTCAAAATAGTCCCCTGCTGATGCAATGCATTTATGCCAACGCTTTTTCCAATTATCGAAGCATGTCAACTAGTCACGTTATGGTATGGCCTTCCTTCAGAGAGTGTGTCAATACACGTTTAATCTCCTTAATCGACTCAAAACGGTGTCCTCGAAGTGGTCTCTTGAGTTTTTGGAAAAGCCAGAAGTCACATGGCGCTAAACCCATCGTATACGAGAACGGAGAACGATATTCGAAGAATTAATGCTGTCTGTATTATCGTGATGCAAACACCACGAAGGCACTTTTAGACATTTAGTAAACACAAGCGTAACGTAACAGTGCTACCAACATTAAAAATAAAATTAACTCGAAATATTAAGCTCAAATTAAAAATTCACCTTACTTTTTGATCACAGCATTTGAACGAATATTAAACCAATATTTTGGGCTTCATTGGCTTAATCATGAATGGAGTTTTCTCGAATTAACCACAACATTTATTTTATAATTACCGTAGACTCAAAGCTGGCATCGTGGTCGCCAAAGGGATAGGAAAGGCAACAAATTTAGTGAGTAGAATTGTTTAGAACCTTCAATCTTGACAGTACTCTTGATTTCTCCAAACGGTATTGGGAGTTTAATTGCTGATTAAATCTCAATTAGCTAATTTGGTGCCTATGTGAACAGATATTTTATTTTACAATTTTAAAATATGAAAGAAAGCCATTATAAAAAATTATTTTGTTAATTATATATACCATTGGCGCCTTGCAACCGCTGAAGCGATTTTCGGCCGAGCTGCTTCTCCAAGTTTTTCTGTTTATTTTTTGCATTTTAATGTTTTTCCAACGATTGGAGGCACCTAGAGCTTATATTGAGCCGCCTCCGAACGGCTGATGGTTTCTTATGAGGCGCCTTTATTTAACGTCCGAAATACACTGGAAGGTGTTGACATTCCCTGTCGTGGGGCGACCGCAATTAGAAAATGAATTAATTAATTTTTAATTTAAATTAGTTTTCTACAACCTTTTGGATGTTAGTACGACAGCAGAATTTGAACTCGAACCTTCCGAATGGCAGTATCACTTGGCTATTTGCCCACCGCGACCTCTATCTATACCAATTAT